ATCCCTGAAGGGAAAACGTTTAAAAAAAAAAAAATAGTGGAAACGGAGGAGAACGAGAGCTGTTGTCCAAGAGCTTCTACGTAAAAATAAAAATTAAAAAAAAAAAACAAAAAAAAACAAAAAGAGTAAGAAAAATAAAGAGTCTCTTAAATGGTTCTGAGGGTTCTAATGATGAACTGAAAGAGGATGAGACGACGGAGGAGACAGACAGTTTTTATTGCTGGCCTGCCCCGCTTAGCTTAGCTGGCCTCCATCCGGAGTTTCTTCCTGCTTTGGGGCTCTTCCGGCTCTGACTCCGAGCTGGAGTCTGAGCCTCCATCGAAGGCAGAGATGGTGCCGCCCTTGGCGTTGGTGTAGAGGCTGTTGTCTGAGGAGGGATAGTTGGTCTGCAGTTGGGCACTCGACCTCGCCTTCTCCAGTGCACGGACTGCAAGGGAACCAAGGGAGAGCGTTACAGTCTTCTGGAGACCAGAGAGTGACCAAGTCTCAGACTCAGGGGCCAGCCTGTTCTTCCTAAGGGCTGCTTGGCCCCTGAGGCTCAGGGTGGCTCAGAAGAACTCCATTCTGGTGGCTGTTCCACCCGTACACTACACTTCACTTCCCACCCTCTTTTTCCAGCCAGGCCTGGGGGCCCAGTGGACACGGCCAGACACTCTGAAATCCCACTTAACCCGAAAGAGAACGCTTGTGAATGTCACTGCCCTGCCACGGACGCCCAGTGTGGAGACAGGAGCATGAGCTCCCTGTGGGATCCAACAGTGCAATGACAGAGGAGAAGCTGGCCTGGCGGTGCCAGCCTCCACAAGGTGCAAAATACCACGTTAACAGCTTTGATGACATCATCCACAACAGCAAGCAAGGAAGGATGACCTAAGATGTATCATCCAAAGAAAAGTATTGGCTTAGTTCTCATGTACAAGATCCACTTGGAATGACAAGCTGGACGCTTGGAAGCAAGTCACCAATACAGAGACTACCTGGGTCCTTTGACACATAGCCCCTACATGCAGGCTGCTTGGCCCAGTAACCAACCCACTGACACCTCCCACTGCCCATCCCATAGTTCAGCTCATCTTGAGCCTGGACAGTCAACCCATTTATTTTATTTTATCTGAGGTGTTCTATCCCAAGTGGTTACTTGCATTTCCTTTTACTTGCATCTTCCACGAGGGAGGAAGAGAAGTGAATTCCCCAGGAACAAAGAACTTGATCAGCTCTCGCTTTCCCCTGTGGTTGTAGGAAAAGGTGGGTGTGAGCATTTGAGAACAGCATGGGCCTAGCCCATAGGCTGCCCTGTTTGGACTACCATTGACAATGGGGAGGGCTCACTGTCCCTGAATATCTGGAGTCTCTGGTACTTACACAGCACATTCCACTCCAAGGACCTCAAAGCTCTTTTCTGAAACCTGATACCACCAGGTATGAACCCCTACCTGCAGGCAGAGCACCTGAGCCCCAAGAAGGGGAGAGATTGGGTCAGAAAAGATACAAGTCTCCAGGTGTCCAACTCCCTAGACTCCACTGTCTCCTCATTGGCGGCTCAGGTCCTTCGTCAGGATGGTTCTAACGCTCAACTACTCAGGCCCCAAGAAGCAGGGCCAAAGCTGCTTCTGTGCGCATGCTCCATAACTGGCTCTGACTCTGCAGGCCCAGACAAAAGCAGGGCCAGCTGCCCCACAAGCCTGGGCGCTCACCTTGCTGCTCCAGAAGAGCATTCTGCCGCTTGAGGTCGTCAATGTCTTGCTGGTGTGTGTGGTTTTTCCTTCGCATATACTGGATGTACTCTGTGGCTTTGTCTAGGATTTGGGCCCGTGATGCCTGTTGCAATATGAGAAAAAGCACAGGGGACAAAATAAAGACCTAGTCCGAGCAGTGAGGGAACCATGCCTTCTGCAGCAACAGCAAGGGGTGTTCTGGGAATGAGAGGGTGAGGCGGGACAAGACTGAGGAAATGAAGAGTAACTGCTATCGAGAGCCTTCTTTGTGCCAGATGCTTCACATACCTTACCTCACTAGCATTCTCAGAAAGGTAGCTCCATACACCAGGAATCTGAGGCTCAGAGAGGTTTACTGTTTTTCTCAAAATCATCAGCTAGACGGTGGCAGATTGTGGATGCAAACTCAGGTCCATGTGACTCCTGAACTTGTACTCCTCCCATGCCCTTTGATTCTTTAAGCTTAGCACACTTGCTCTATGGTAGCGCCTGACTACAGGCAGCTGGTCCAGAAAGACATGAGTAAGAAGACCTCAGTTGGAGCTGGCTTGGGATGGGAGTGGGTATGAAGTTTTTATTAACGTCCCAGAGTTCAGCCAAATGCTCAGAGTGTTGTTAACTATTTCCAAGTCAATGATGCTGCTGTGTCACTACATTTCAGCCTTCCTGTCTCAAGAAACTTTTGTGAAAGCTGTTGGTGCTCGATGTCAACACAGTAAAGGCATGAGATTGAGCCATTTCAGGAAGCAGCCACACCTTTATCATAGCTGTGGGCAGGCTGGGCACCGCCCTGTCAGAAGAACAAGTTAATAAACCAGCAAAACAGACATCAGGTTACTGTGCTCCTAGAAGTCAAATTTGCCTGAGAGATTTCCTCCAGGTTGCAAACGTGACTAGAGTGAACACGCTTGCCAGCCTGCTGAACTGGCAGAATGGTACAAAGCCAAAAGAACTGAAGCCAAAGGCAAAGTAGTCTAGTAGCTAAAGTATGGCATTCATGCCACCGAGGCTCCTTTGGAGTAGGAAAGTGTCCTACTCAGAGCAGGGCAATACTCAACAATTTTGCATAACCCCAGCAGGTCCCAAATGACCAGAACAAAGCAAGGGAAGAAAGGAAAAGAAAACATCCACACTCAGGCTAGCAAAACTAGATCCATTTGTATTAAATCCTGACAATCTCAATGTCTAGCCCTCAGGTTGGGTAGGGTATCAGAGAAGTGTACAAGGTCTGCGTTTATTCACCAGTCCTCTCAAGTACTTAAAGCAATTTCCTCAAAAGGAAATCGTTCATATTTAATCAACCAATTTTTATCTGGTACAAAATATGTGCAAGGTACTGGATAGACACTGGGGAAATAAAATGTGTTAGTCATGGCTTCTTTTGCCCAGAAACTACTTAGTTGAAGAGGAGAATATATACACACAGACAAATCACAGGGCAGCACCAACAAGTGAAACCTTAGTAGTGCAGATTAGAAAGGCCACAGGAAAGATGGCTTCTTGCTGGGGGGATTACCTACTGCCTGCCAGGTGTTGGCCTGGGCTCTGCTCACAACTGCTACCATCTGAAATGGTGACCTCTGCATTAGACCAAAGTGGACTTTGTGGGAAAGGGTCACTCTGGGCCCAGGCAAGACATGAGGGGTGGGAAACAGCCAGATGTATTTCTTAAGTTGAGTAGGTTAGCTTATGTGCAATGTGGGCTTGCAAATCTGGTTGTAAGGCCACTCCAGATGCTGTCTCCCATTTCTGCCAAACGGGCCTTATTAGGGTCTAATCATTAGGTGGTAAAATTAAAATATAAGGCACATAATTAAAAGGAACTAATTAAAATATCTTGCCTCTCTGGATACTAGAGATGGAAGAAAAACAGTAAATACTATATGATAGGTGGCAGAGTGGTATAGTGGCAAGGAACAGTTTGGGATTCAGGAGATGGTGGTGCAGTCTAGGCTTTGTCATTAATGGGCCTTGTGACTGCAGACACAACATCTCTCTCCATGGCCATTCCTTATCTGACTAGAAGTTCTCTAAGACTCCACACCTAGCCCTCCAAATTCTACCCTCTCCACCACTGATATAATTACTAGGCATATTTAGACCCTAGTCTCTCTTTAAATTTGCCTATTTTAAAACTACTTTTCAACTAACAGTTCCCAGGCAACAACATTAGCTCTTATGTACATCTGGGACAAGAGAAAAAAGCAAAAATTTCTGATAGCAGAGGCCGCTTGCAACTGTTCGGTAACAACTTTTCATGAATGACCAAACTAAGCAGTAGCCTTTATGCTACCAATTTCTCCTTCAAATATTTAGACATTTATACATGAAACCATGAAATCAGGATCAAGAGTGAAATGTGAGCAGAAAGCATAGTAACACAAACCAGAAGAAGGATCCCGTGAATGATGGGATTTCCACATCATGGTAGTTTTTGGATGAAGATAAAATTCATAGATGTTCAGAACACAGAGTGCCTCGGGAACAAGAGGTCCCAAAGAAGGCTTTAATCCAGCCTTTAAATCTAGCACGAGGCTTCCAGAATGTTAAGCACAGCCCTTCCTTCACTTCCATGGAAAACAGAAGCACTCCAGGTCACTCTGGGTGCCCCTGACCACGCACAGGCTCCTCTCACCCCTCAGCAAGTCCAAAAGAGCAGTTCAGAGTTAACTTTATCTTGCCTTTCCCAACGTACCAACAAGAATTAAACCAAACAAGAAAAAATTTAAAGCACAAAATACAGAATTTCCCCAAATTTGCATATCCATCTGTTCTGGGGAGAAAAAGCAAAAAGACTGAAGCTAGAAAATGCTACTCATCTAAAATCCCATCCTCCCATCTTTCCAAACCACACAAGATCATGTGACCAGCCATAAGGTTAAGGTGCGGGCAGGCCCGTCTTTGTCTTTATGAGTTTGTAATATGTGTACAGTAAACACGAAGGCAGCAAGAAGCCCTGGGATATATGACATGAACTATGGAACGACTGTGAGCTTTCAATTTCTATTTTCGCTCTGTCAACTGAATCAACTGACAATCCACAAGTGAGTGGGACTGAGAAGAGAATCTGGAAGTCAGAGAGTCCACAGACAGCTGACTCTTGCCTTTGGGTACTCAGGACCGGGATAATTTTTTTCTCGGTAGTTTCTACAATTAGAAGCTGCTAATTCTGACTCTGCCTTTCTGAACAGAAACGAGTCTCTTAAATGGTTTGGACACAGCCCTGGAGCAGGATGGACTGGGGATGAGGGGACCAAAGACAGAAGCGCGAATTAATGCAAACTGGCTCCTTGGACCTCTTCTTCACCTCTGGGAGTCATGCAAAAGGATGCTGAGCAGCCTTGCCAAACCTTGTTTCAAAGCCATGGTTGCAAACTGCAATACAAATAATGATGATGATAGATAGCAATGGCGGCAGCCAACACTTACTGAGTACTTACCAAGTGCCAGGCATCCTCACACAACCTTCTGATGTATTATTTTCTCTATTTTATAAACAAGGAAACTGAGGCACAGAGCTCTAACTTGCCCAATGTCACATAACTAGCAGGTAGCAGAGTCAGAACCTGAACTCAGGTAGTCTGGTTGTAGGGCCCATGCTCTTGAGCACTCTGCTGTAACATCTGCTCTTTTACTGCCCATATGTCAGGCACATTGCACATTATCTCAACAAATCCTCAATGCTATCGTAAGGTAGGTATTACTACCCTCTGACTTTACAGATAAAGAAACTGAGGCTCAGAGAGGAAACAGCCTAAAATCACAGTGCCACTAAGAGGCTGAGAAAGGATTCGAATGCAGGCCCACATGACTCGAAAATCCATGCTCTTTCTACTAAATCACCAAGCCACACAGGGCATGAACACTATCTTTTATTTTTCTCATCTCTGACAGTCCTCCCTACCTGCGGTCACTTCCTGCAAGTGACTGTCACTATCAACAGGTATTTCTTCAGAGTCAACCCATCCTCCAGAGGCACCCACTTTGTTACAGAGCTCTGCTTTGGACCAGAGTCCGCCCACGCCATGTGGTGGAGCAAAAATCTACTATGTATTTCAATGAAAGGCCCCGGATCCAAAAGTGTTTGATTCCAATCAGAACCTTTTAAGACCCCAAATGATTCCTGAAGTAGTTAACACTAATGCCCAGGATGAGGTCCAAGGTTACTAAATCCCATTTAAGGAAGGGGTTATAGATAAAGAGTTCCAAACATTTCTGGAGTCATAAGTCTTATTACAGTAACTTGGATTTGTGTAAAATCCCAAATGTTTTAAAAGGTGGGTGGGGAGAGGTGAAGAAGAGAACAGTAGTACTAGATTGTTAACCTCAATAACACCAGAAGGTCTGCTCACCGCTGTTCCCCAGGGTCCTAATGCTGACTTGAGAAACATTGATCTTAGCTTTCTGTCAAAAAGAGATTCTACAGAGCTGGTATTCCAGATGCCTTGTTCCCTCAAAAACCAAATGCCATGTCCTGAGAGATGAAAAAAACTACTTACTACCTGACTCACCAACTGACATGTGTTTTATTTTGCACTAGTTACTTTAAAGAAAATAAAAACATTTACTTTTTGAAATCCGCATAAGCTTTTATACATATTAAGATAAAGACAGGGCTAGGGCAAAGCTAAGGAGCCCTGATGGCGCAGTGGTTACGCGCTCAGCTGTTAACTGAAAGGTCGGTGGCTCCAAATGTGGCAGTCTGCTTCCATAAAGATTACAGCCTTGGAAGCCCTCTGGGGCAGTTCTACTCTGTCCTATAGGGTCACTGTGAATCACAATCCACTCAAGGGGTTTAGGGGAAACTGGTGTAAACTTATATTTGAATAAGCCATCTTCTGCGAAAAAAAAAGTTGAAGACTGTACAATAGGCTTAGGTTTCTTGAATGAAATGAAACCATTTCATTTACAGAGTTAGAATGCAATAGTTTCACTGGGACCCTGTTCCTTTTGGGGTGATAAAAATGTTTTGAAACTATACAGAGGTGGTAACTGCACAACACTATGAATGCGCTAAATGCCACTGACTTGTTCATTCTAAAACGACTAATTTCACGTTATATGAATTTACCGTAATTAAAAAAAGAGAGAGAGAACCACCAT